ACGAAATACAGGGAAAATATACATATAGATATATTATACATATATACACACACACACATAGACAGACAGACAGACAGATAGATAGATAGATAGATAGATAGATAGATATGCATACATATCCTTACCATAATCTCCAGATCCAGAGCCTGACCCACCATCATCACCATCTTCATCGTCTATAGGGAGGTCACCAGATGTTCGGCCCTCTATGTATAAGTCATCACTTGGGCTAAATGACTGGGAGAAGACAAAGAGCTGCCAAAAAGAGGGGGGGGGATAAAAACATGCAATTTTATTTAAGTAGGAGAGAAACACACACATAGAGTCACACAGAATTCCTTTCACTAATTGACAACATGTGGATATCGCTACAGTTCTGGAGTAAGACAATACCTCTCACAACCAATGATGTATGCTGGCCAAATATGCAGCAGTGCATGCTGCTGTCTGAGAGTATTACATCCATACTATAGTATGTGCAGTAGATAAAGGCTGTTTTCTTGATCATTTCACATGCTGTGGCAGTAATTTGTGATACTTTGCAGAACCACACAGCAGAGAACTAAGTGTCTTTGAAAGGAGGAAGGACGAGATAAAGCAGCTTCAAAGACAACACAGAGAGCAGGCAAGTAGACACACACATGGAAAGGGCCGCTTCACATATTAGATTGCACCTCGTGAAATCCTTCCGCCAACCCGAATGCTACACAGAGGAGTGTGATGAAAACCAGTGACCTTCTTTTCCCTTGATCTAAGGCCTAGGCAGACAGAAGGTAATGAGATGAGTGGCTCAAACACAACCGGAGATCACATGAATCAAAGAAAGACACTAACTGTGTTGAAATCGAAAGAGAGCCAAAGAAAAAGAAGCTCAAACATATGCTGGTGTTAAGAGAGGGAGAGACGCTCACACACAGAGACATGGATGAATATGGCCCATTGAGACCTGAAATATGTCTGGTATGTATACTATGCTTCCACTAACACAGGTGCTGAGAGAGGGTGAAAATAGGGAGAAAGGAAAGGAAGCACAGTTTAGTGTACTTCTCATAAGATAACTGCTCCAGAAAAAGGTTTTACTCCAATAAAAATTCACAAAATATGTTGTCAAAGCAACAGTTCTTTTCAAGTTAACACCATTTTCCTTTTGCTAACAAACCTTTTTATCAGTATGCAATAATGCAAACAGCCCACAGAAGGGATACAGATATAAAATCTATCTGATCTGCAACTGTACACCTAACATTTAAGGTCATTCTGCAACATGTCACCAAGATACTGGTGTATTCATGTGAAGCATTAATAACACGTAAACCCAAGGGTGACTAAAATAGCAGAAGAGGTGCTGGCATTCACACCGACTTCAGCCAGAGATTAGAAAAGCAAAAGCTGTGACTGTCTGTGTCACATACACAATGGGAAATATACTCTATGCCTAGCTTGAGAATTATCAGGTTATAAGGCTATAATCAGACATCAGCAAACTTATGGTAGATGTATGCGAAATCTGTCCGACTATTTTAAAAGACCTCTAAAGACGTACCTTTTTTAACTGCTAACAGTCAAGTCTGAGGTCCATCACGGATTGGACAAGTTCTTTTATATAGCTGTTTTAACTATTGTTAGAGTTTAATTCTGATTTTATTCTTATTTTCTGACTTCTTTTTAATAGTTATGTTTACTATGCTGTTTATGTGAGTTCTGTGTGTTGTAACTGGCTTCTTGGAGACCTGGATTGCAGATGAGTGTGCCTGTGAAGCACTCTGGGTCAACGTCGGTTGTATTAAGATTAGCTACATAAATAACATTGACGTGATAGTCATACAAAAAAGTATTAGATCAAAGTGTTTTACTGTGTTTCACTGGCATTTATTTTACCAGACCAAATCCAGATGTTAACCACACAATTAGCTGAGTCAACACATATAACACATTATCTTTTTTAACGGATCAATCAAATATTTTTAATTTAGAATTGATTTCACTAAGTGCCATTAAGCTTTGATCTCCCACCTACTGGCAGTTTGTTTTCTGCTGACTCTGAATCAGTTCCCCTTGACAGATACAAGTTTTACACTGGGGTTTACTGGAAGATGTGATTTAGAATTTATACACATCTGGAAAGCATACGTATGCACGCAGGATTTACACACACACTCTGTATATAACGTTTTGATATCCTGGTGCTTTGTCACAATGAAGACAGTTTACTGGAAACAGCTGTATCACTCCACAGACATATGAGAGAAGACTGAGTGTTGGTGGAGGGCAACATTAAAGCTGACAATCATCAAAGTCTTATTTTTTGTTTCTCCTCAGCTGATAGCTAGCTATATCCCCAGTGAGCTGCAAAGTAATGAGAGCATGGTCAGATCGAGAGTTAGTTTAGATAACAACGAAAAGCACACAACAGATCTGTCATCACTTGGATGGCGGCAGCAGCAGCAGAGTGCTGTGTTGAAGGTGGTGTATGTTTGACTAAGGCATAAAATTAATTATCCATTAAGTAGCTGTAGCCTGTAAGGACAAAATTATCAGATGCCAAGAGAAAATGAATATTCCTCTTACAACTTTAGTGATCAGACAGAGTTTGGTAATGCAGTCTTTAGTGATGCCAACAGGCAAAATGTGACACAACATCTACTTCTGTCTTACATGTGATTGTTATGTCCTTAATTCAGATTACAGTAATTTGAAACTGCTGACCAGAGACTACAGGTCCCAGTCCACTCCATGTACGCAAAGACCTAATATAGCTTTGTCCATTACTTGTGTGGTGGTCAAAGAACAGTCAAGATAATCAGCGATATGTGGCTAAAAACAAAAAATATATATTGAAAAATAAATAAATAAATAAAATGAAAACTCTCCAAGGGCATGCTAACACTGAAAGTCAAACAAACTGCTACAGCAACTCATCAAAAGAAAAAACTCTTGCAGCTAAACTGCCCTTGACACACAGAACAATGTTGTGACTAATGCTGATTAACTGAGAACACATATCTTCCGCCCCACCAGGTTTTTTAGTTCTCCACAGCAGCAAGTGTCAAACTACATCGTTTATATTCATGTTCTTTTGTTTCTAAACGTTTTTTTTCTTCCTCACATGTAGGCGTTTCAGTGGAGTGCTTTTGAAGCCCTACGAAAATCGTCATTAATAGCACCGTGAGGAGGTGTTACCCTTTTCCTCTCGCTCTTAGCATTTGGATGAAAAACTGCTCATATCCCACGCAGCTGCGTGCTTGCCTGGACTAGCCCAGTGGAACTCGCTGTTACTCATCCATCCAGAAAAATGACACAACTACCAGATCACAAACTGTCATAGGAAGAAAGCCTGTTTAAACATTCATCCTTTGGATTGGAGCAACATCACTGACTGACTAACCAGTAATTCTACAGCCACACTTGGGGACACAGATAGTTTGGATGTAAGATGTAGCCCATCACACCCAGCAATTTAAGACTGGAGTCTGTGTATTAGTGGTATGACATGAAGACGAATCAAAGCATCTGTGGATCAAAGTATGAGATGACACAAAATTAAAGTTAAGCAGAAAAAAGGTTTGTTTGTTTTTTGAGTGACCACACCTGTTTATAAGCTATTATATTCAGAGATTACAACCTGTGGGGCAAAGCAGGACAGGAATGCCAAGCTGTATTCATTTTCACCATATCCACAACTCCCTGAGTCCTACTAAGGGATTGCATGTCTCTTTCCTCTGCTACAAATATACACCAGAAGCAGTATCGTGTTTCAGTTCCCTCTCCTTTCACAATATACAGTCCATAAATCTTAAACAAACTGCATTTCTGCAGAGGTGGTGAGGCTCCCTGGCTCTCATTAGAGATTTCTTACAGTCAATAAATCACCAGCCTGGATATTTTTCATACTTTGTGACGATGAACAAAACTCTGCTTCAGCCTGTCATCCCCAGGTGTTTTCCAGCTATAAAGCAGTCGCACAAACAATGGAAGGGGTAAAGGAGGAGGATTTTGAAATACTCTTTTTTTTCCCCCTTAAACCACCTTGGTTAAATATGAATGATTTCCTGGTTTAGAATTTGAATTTGCAGTATAACATTATAAAACGTGTGGGTGAGAAATTCAGGCCAGGTCTGGTTTAAATGTCAAAGCTGTGAGCTAAATGATGAACAGACTTTGGCCCTGTGTGAACTTGACACCAACTGGACGCTTGGCCTCGGTTTGAAAAGGCTGCTGAGGTCTAAAATCACCCAGCTTATAGATCCGGAGGTAACATATATTTATGTTTTAAAAAGACGAATTCGTGCCGTTCACGTTAAAGGTACATTTAACTTAAATACATAATAATAATAATAATAATAATAATAATAATAATAATAATAAACACAGAGAAAAACTGAGGATATAACATTAAGAGTAATATTTTTATTTTATGTGTAAACTCTATGGGGTAGAACTCAAACAGTCCACATGAACATAACAAACGTTACCCAGGGCTGTCGTTTTCAAAAATATCTTAACGTTTTAGCCTTCTAAAACGTAGCCCTAGCCTATTTTACATATTAAAGATAATTAATATGTATTTTTTTCACTAATACGTCAACTGGAACATTTTTGAATTAAAAAACATTTAAGAAAAGCCACTTACTTTTCCACTGATTGACCCAGTTGCCAGCCCGACGAGGAACAACCACCACAGATTCCCCATTTTAAATCCAAAACAATTTAAAAAAAACACGCTAGTTGAAAACGAGAAATTATATGTTGGTATAGTGAAAACGTTCAACTCGCTCTTCGGTGTTCAGTAGTACGTATAATTTGTTGTAGCGCTTTCGCTGTCGCTGTCGAACCACTTCGTTAAATCTCAGTAAAGTTCCCGAGTGTGTCCCGGACTCGTTGTGAGAAGGACTTCGTCTGAAAAAGTTGTTTAGCCTGGTCGTGAAGCGTGGCTCTCTGCGGTGACGTCAGCACGCCGGTCCTTGACGACGGTAGTGGAGACGCACACGCGAGCCGGAACCGTTGACAAGGTGACGAGCTCAACTGCCTTACACCGAGGTTAATTAATAATAGGCTGAACGAGCGGCTTTTTCTTATTTACATTTTTAGTGTGGATATACGCTTCTAAAATCCAGCAATTCATTTTGCCCTTTTTTGGGGGTCTTGAGTCTGAGGCAAAGGCCATTTATCTCTGTGTAATTCACATGAATCCTACTGTTCTATTGATGCCATATTTGCGGGGGCTGGGCAAACATTTCTTTTCAAAATGGACTCCCCTCCCTTGTGGCTATAAAATATGGTGATAAGCTTTTGTTTTTTGTTTTGTTTTTTTGTAGCTATTATGATTCTATTGCTAAAAAAAGAAGTTTTTAACTTTTACTCCTTCCAAAACAAAACTTTAATGCTGCACATTTTCAGCCTATTTCAGGAGACAGAAGGCAGGGTGAGGCCGAAAGGATTTTACTCAAAATTGTGGTCTGATTAGAGCTGTCAGGAAATGAAGTAGAGGGCGGTCAGACAGGAAGGTAAAAGGTCAAAGGGGGACATAACAGCAGGTTTGTTATCAGAAGTATTGCTTAATGTTTAAACAAATCACACACAAACAGAAAAAAAGTTTGATTCCTTCTTTTCTCTGCTGATTTATATAATTAATGATGTATAAGCTAAAGGTGCATTAACCTGTACCTCTCCTGTCTCATTAGAATGAAAAATTAAAAAACAGGACAACACTGCTAACAACCACCAGGACAGGAGGCCCTATGATCACACCAAAGTGTAAATAGGTAACCAGGTTTCTGAAAAACATGTCAGAACACACAAACCAGAGGGACGTGCTCATCTGAAAACATCCGTTTCACGGCATGACTCAGATATCCTAGGATCTGAACTTGCTGGTTCCTTGTTACAGTCAGTTCAGTAAGTCAAGGCACATTTTTCAGATATTAGGGAGTCCATCAAAGTAACGGATTATCTTAATATCTCCGTTAAAGGGGAAAGAATGAAGCTCTCTGGAAGGTGAGACCACTGTTAAACAGAATGCAACAGGGCTGCCAAAAGATTATTGCCTTTACAGGCCGGTGTTTTAAATGGCAGCCGAGAAACCAAATGCCACAACTTCAGAGCCCTAGCTTTAACAACATTTCTATATTTGTCCCTGCTCGGACTCCTCTAAGCTTTCACCTTCTCGCTCTAAAATCTGGCCCTCTTCCACCTCACCTCCTGACAGCAGTATGAGTAAAATCCTGTCTGCCACACTCAGTGCTCTGTCACACCATCCATGATCACTGTTACTGCCATGGGGAGCATGACCCAACAACCCATGTTTAGGTGAGTATTAGGAGTGCAGAATGGAGTTTAATAAAAAAGAAAAAAATGGAAACAATATCATTTCATCATACTAAGATAAAAAATAAATAATTTTCAAAAAAGAATCTTCTAAACATTTATTTCAACTACTATACTTAAATTATCTAAAAACAAACAAACCAACCAACTATGAAACATTTATTCTTCTGGGTCTCAGGAGATTAGGAGCAATCATCACAGTATGGATTGATTGAGACTAAACCATCTTTTGTGTGTTGGAATATACACACATAAATATTACAACAAAAATACGTTTCCCTTCGAGACATCGGAGAAATTAGCACATAGATCAGACAGAATAATTTCCAAAAACATAGATTTCAATAAAAACTTTATGATTCCATTGATTTTTATTGAAGGACAAGCTTGCTTTAGCTGTGACACACGGTGTGGTTCATGACTCCCTCTGGTGGAGAAAGGCTGTAATGACAACCAAGCAGTTTAAATGGCCGTTTCTGTCAAATGCTTTACTCCCTTTCAAACCAACTCATATTTACAAAACATGAAGCCTAGTGTAGTTTCCAAACCTTGAAACCACTTAGGCAGTGACAAGGATATTTTGACTCCATGTGAGGTACCTCAATTAATATTAATAATAAAAAACATTATCCAGCCATAACAATTCTTAATTTGACACAGCAAACCCAGGATATTAGTCTTATAGCCTAACAGTCCACATTAATAAAACATCTTCCCGAGTATTGCTCATCAGAAATCTGATAAATCTGTCATTACATGCGCTCAGCTTTAAAGAAACTGATGTTTTCTACTTTGTTATTTAAATCCATTTGTGTGAATTTTTTGTTTCACTGAGACACTTTTGCAGTTCAATGTCACAAAAGAAAAGTGGATCCACGTAATTCAATGTTCCCTGAAAATAATATATTTCAGAACAGAAAATAGAGTTAAAACACACAGTAAGCTGACACACTCAACCAAAAAGAAATAAATCAGGTAATAAATAAAAGCATTATCTTATGGGTGAACTCATAAGCTGTTATTATAACCTCCCCAATTCGTTAATAACCTGAAAACTCATCTGATTTAATTGGTGACCCTATGTGGGTATCTTGACCTTTGGCTTGGGAACCACTAATGCAAGACCTAATCTATGGCTTCAGTTGACATCATGCAGATACACCAAACCTTTCATCAACCAATTTATAATTATTTTTTATAATACTTGATTAAGTTTATAAATGATAAAGCTTCCCTTTGGTAAAAGCTGCTAACATCTTTAAAGTCACACTCTAAACTCTGCATTTATAAGAAAAACAATGACATTTTTGATCAAGTGCCTGTCACTCATGTTGACACAAACACTATGCCACAAAGCTGCACAGTGTACTTCCTCTGGTTTAATAAAGGCAGAACATACAGAGTACAGAGGGACAGAGTCACAGGTTTACTGCTTTCACAGTGATATAAAGTTGTTGTTGTTTTTGTTCTTCACCAGTGAAATGAAAGAAAGCACAACTCCACAATGAGATGATTATTATGACCTGGCTTTTTTTTTTTTATCCACATATATGGAGATGTGCAGTATTTCACCACCACTTACTCGAGGTGTGGGGTGGCGGTTCCTGCTTCAAAGAATGCAGCAGAGCAAACAGGTGAAGACGTCACTGGTCCCGGCCACAACGCTATGCTCATTACTGTAAGTGCAAAGAAACCTGCTAATAGCAGTGAAGCTAGTCCTGACCAGAGCACTAGCAGCTGCTGATTACGTTACAGTTGCACCCACAGCAAGCACAGGACAGGTTTTATCTGCACTGGACGTTGAAAGGAAAGAAAACAAAAAGATAAAAAGCAGAAATGAAAAATGACCGTCAGTCAAAAGAAGGGAAACAGTGACACTGGAGCAGAGTTTCTTCTGACATGCCCCAAACCAAAAGCAGATCTTCATGCAAGATAGATATCGTCCACACCTCAAAATTTGCTACAATATTTTCCCTAAAATAATAATAATAATCATATTCATATCATATAACTTCATATGTGTTACGTGGTTGTCCATGCCATACCAGTGGGGCCCGCCCCACAGTTTGAGAACCACTACACTATAGTCTCCAGAGATGTGAGTCTAATCTCAACCTCTGCTGTGGCCATGGGACAGTAAAACAATGAGGTGTGTTAAAAATAAAAATTCTAGCAGAAGAAGTCTTTGCATCAAGTTAAAGAGGACCAAGAGCGCTGTGAGACAACCATCATCTGCGATGTAGAACTTCATCTGACCCCAGCCTTGATGTCTAATGGTCTCATATTCCTCTTCCAAATTGGAGGGATCTGCATCACAGAGAGAAGAAATTATTTTTAAGGTGTGCATAGTGTTACGCAGACTGGACTTTACAGGAACACATAACAAGGCACAGTGTCTGTGTATGCGTTTGCATTACCCGTGGGGGTACTGAAGTCTCTAGATGCCGTCCCAAAAATGATAAAAGTCGCCTCCATATCAGCCCACTGCCCAAGAACATGAAACCTGTTACCAGCCAGAAAGCACGGGGGTCCTGTAGGAGAGACACACACAGACAGAGCAGTGCATAAATATCTGTTCATAAACACTAAGCAGTAGTTACAACTATTAAAAGTATTGATCAGAAGTTGTCTCACATCTTCGAAAGCTGTCGTCAGATTCATTCCAAATGCCACACCTATTAGACCAAATAAGGAAAGGGAGAAGGACCCCATGGTCAGCTGCAGATTCAGTCGCATCATCACGTTCCGGTGGCTGGAATAAAACACACAGTGCTCTCAGTGGCTGCAAGAAATCATACAAAACAAGAAAACGCCTGATCTGGCAGAGAGGTGTGGGATGCCAGATCAGGCGCCCCCCCTTCCGGCTCTCCTCTCTTTTGTCTTACTTCTCGCTATCACCTTTTCTATCCCTTTGAAGAAGTGAGGCTCTTTAAATATCAAAGAGGTAAGTATTACTTTTGTTTTGCAGTGAATTGATAGAAGAAAATAATGTAGAAAATTAAACAAAAGAAAGTAGAAATAACAATAAAACATAAATCAGTGACACACTCCTGATCAACCCTCGCAGGGCCTCCTTGGATGAAGGTGTCTAGTGATAATGGCTGAAACACCCAATGAATCCAAGGTTCACTACTGATGATGGGTCCCAAGTTTTATATTTCTGTAATTCAGACACACTGTTGAAATAGCACTTCCGTTTTGTCTCATGTTATTTATTTTGTAAAAATGTGTCGGAAATGTCTGTACTGTGGCAGAAAAGGTAGTTTTGCTGGTTTTCCTTATGAGAACAAAGTGGGTTGCATGTCGCCCTCGATATAAAATGAGTCTCACATTCCTAACCTAGACGATATCTGACATCTGGGGGGAAAAAAGCTAATTAGTAACAAAACTGGGTATATATTAGAGAAAAGAAAAAAAAGGCATCCCACAGATAACTTCTATTTCGAAATAATGGATGCCATCAGCTTATTATCAGCAGGTGTGTGTGTGTGTGTGTGTGTGTAACTGCACATGGCAGGAGTAACGAGCACGTTTGTGAAGGTGCCACTGTTGCTGAATCACATTTACAGTCCTGTGAAAGAAGAACATTCTGACAGGCGACTATCCCGTCGTGCGCCCTAAGTGCGCCCAACTGTTTCCATGAAAATTAAAAGGGAAGTAGCAGCTACCTGTTGCCAACTAAATCAACCATCATGGAACAATCAGATGTGTGTTAACACAACCCCACTATCTTCCCAGGAGTGGAGCTCCCACCAAATTCATCCCAAGGTCAGACCGTGCAATGATCAGAGAAACTGAAAACAACCCAAGAGCTCAAGATGTGCATAGACGAATGCCTGCAAACCTCATTGAACTGAAGTAACGTAAAGACGAGTGGGCCATAATTCCTCCACAGCGACGTGAGCGACTGATTAAGTCAAACAAAAAAAAAAAGATAACTTCAGGTTATTGCTGCTTGAAGATAGATCTACAAGCCATTGAATCATGGCGTGTACTTAGTTTTTCCACATAGTGCTTCTATATGTTTGCTTATTTTTTTAAATAAATAATGAGTAGCTGTGCATGAAGAGCTGTGCATTAACAAATGAACAGAAACCTTAATGTTGTGAAGGAGACGGCGGCAGGATTCCTTCACAACCATGTGAGAGACTAAGTCGCACAGAAAACATTTATTTCAACGTATTGTTGCTGAAGATGGTTTAATAACCTACTGGATCATGCACTGGACTGCATAGAGTCCTATGAAAACTCTCCTTTCACATGACTGTACTTATTTTGGAGCAACATTTACTGCAATTCAGATAAAATCTTTAAATACGACCTTGCCTTCTTCAGGATGACAATACCAAACCGCAATCTGGACGTGTTAGAACATCCCCCTAGCTCACAAAATTCCACACGAGTACAAAGATGCATCAATTTTTAGTAAATTAAATTTTTCTTGTTAAATAGTAGATGGCAAAGCATTTTTTTTGGGGGGGGGGACTGAATTAGATTAAATTCAATCTTCAAAAATAATGGCTTGTTAAGCCTCATTATCAGTGTTTTGAGTTTGTTGCTTCTCAAGAACATCAGTCTATAGTGTGCATGTATACATAATGTACAGCCAATTTGTACATACCTGTCCAGATTGATAAAGATTACACTCTCAGAGTCGTCTATCAGACCCTTCAGCTCTCTGGCTCTGTTCCCCAGTTCCTCGGCCTGTGTGAAGTATTTCACGGTCAATATGACAACAATCGTACAACCTACACCTTACTGACAGCCCATCACAACTGCCGCAGATAACATGTAAAGTGTTTCAGTGCTTTGGATATTAAACTAAAATAGAGGCAAAGAAGTAGGTAATCACCATAGCAGAAGCATAAATGGGTATAAATGCTTAGATGAAAATAAAAACATACAAAGTGGTTGTGGCTTGATGAAAATCTATGACAAATGTGTCCTATACAATGTGTGAGCATGCAGCCTTTACCAAGAATTTTGCATAATTGCAATATTTGTTGATCATGTTAAAACTCAGGAATTTAAAGTACAGCTACCTGCATATAATAATTCTCCAATAAAAGCTCCATCTCCTCAGCGTGGTCAATACCCAAACTGCTCTCTTCACTAAAAAGGCAGACAGACAGACAGACATGAGGTTATATACAAAATAGAAGTACACAAGTTGAAGAGAATGGATAGATGGATGAAAAATAGAAGTACAGCTGGGCCTGGCGGTTTGGGCAGAATTAATTTAATTTGAAAAAACAAAACAAAAACCCACATACACTGAAAAAGGTTAACCTGTAACGTATGATCTGCAGGTGAGTGAAAACAGACTGGAAACAGACTTTGATCCTTGGGAACTTAACAAATTCGTGTCTTTCTTTTTCAACATGCTTCCCCACTGACTGGAGATTTCCAACTATTTTTAAGATACTGTGTTCAGCATTCACATACATGTCTGAGTGCATGTGTGACATACAAAACTCTTGGGTCTGTCCATTTTGTGAGGCAGAACTCTTCAACCGTCTCATCCTCATCCAAGACCTTCAGCATGGAGTCCTTAAACATTTTTATGTCCGTCTCCAACTCTGATAAGCTGTAACAGGCGTGAGAGAAGGGAAAACTTACAAGACTGTAAATCTTTAGGCTGAAAACTTCCATATACTTATATGTCAGATGCCATTAATGACTTATTCAAATACAATTACATGTCTTGAGTGATTCATTACCTCTTGCTATTTTGCAGAAGTACATGTAGTTTACTTCTATCAGCAGAAAGGATTTTAGGGTCTACGAGGGATTCCAGCGTATCCAATATGACTGGTTCAACTTCATTCAACCGGGCTTGCAGCGTGTTTACCTGTTGACACAGATAATACAAAGCTTCAGGTGTGTGTCCTTGACTTTCATTCAGGCTTTATCTAGGTTAGACCACGCTTAATTACACAAGCACTCTGTCCGGTCTGATCGGTTTCACCTTGTGCTGCAGGATGGCTTCCAGTGCTCTGAACTCGAAGGGCAGAGTGTGTGTCTGTGACGCTAGCTGGGGGGCGAGCTCCAGAACTAACCAGCGCTCCAGTCCAAGACCACGAAAATCCAAGACCATAAGAGACTCCGGGGTCAAGATGGCTTTCAAGGCCTGAAAAGACAGCGAGTGGAGGTTATGGGCTAGAGCTTAAACAAACAGACGAGGACAAAATTATTAGCCTCCCTATTAAATATAACAGAAAATTTCTGTTATATTTAATAGGGAGGGATTTTCAGTATAGCATTTCCAAATACACCAATTGTCTTTTTACTAAGTATTATTTATTTCTAGCTCCACACAATAAAAATTATTTTAGAAAAAAAAATATTAGTGTCAATATTATTAGTATTACACACTGAGGATGCTTCAGAGTGTGTGTGGAACTGGGAATCTCGTCAAGGTGGGAGGAATTATGAATAAGCAAAAACAGAAAACCTCAAGCAGTCACCAGTAAACCTGAGTCTTCCAGCAAAACATACGTTCTCCTGGTGATGAACAACCTCCAGAAGACTAAAGTGAACGTTACTGACTGGCTTGTAAAAAGCTCTGACTTGAACGCTAACGAAAATCTGTGGGGTGAACTGAAGACAAGGGTCCATAGCAGAAGATCATTAAATCTGCAGGAGCTTAAGAGATTCTCTAAGGAAAAATGGGCTGTGAGACTTACTCAAAGGACACAACTGGCTACTAGCATCAGTGAGACTAGTAATTTTAATCCTGGTTTATGTCAATAGTTTTATTTCTTTGTGCAAATTAAAATAATGTGAGCAACCAAAATGAAACTAGGATGTTTCCCCATGTGCTGTGTTGCAATTTCCTTGCTTTGTTTAACAGCCCTTGGGAAATACTGAAAAATAATAATAAAATTTCCACATGGGGGCAAAAAATTCTGTCCTCATCCAAATACTCTGATCCAAAGAGTGAATGTTAAAAAGATGCTTTTTTGTTAAAGACTCCATGACTGAATTTCCTTTAAAGGCTTTGGAGACATGACGTGTCGCCCGGTTAACGTTAACATGTCAGTGCTCGGTTTGACTCTGAACTGTAAATATTTGTGGTTAGAGATTTGAAACTTGAGCACCAATCAGGATCTAGTTGTGCCTCCCTGGTCCTGAGTCCCACTTAGATACCGCCAACATACAACTGTGAATGGTCAGCGTGTTACAGCCTGCAGAGACCTCACGATGACATAACAGAGCTGAAAACTTTTAGTTCTTCAGGTAATGAAGCATTCTGTGTGTGTACATTTGTTTATGTAGCACATAACTACAAGCTTGTATTGCAGTAACTGCAGCCTCAGTCACTTACTGATCACAGTCCTTGTTTATTTTTGCGTTGCATACTTTATTTCCTCTAATTTTAGACTGAAACATATTTTCTGTGGTTTCTACCCTTGTACAGTCAGGACTAACGATGGCTGTGAAGCTGTCCCATCTCTTCTTGCTGCTGGTTATGCCAAGTCTCAGCTTGACCAGTGGACAAAAATGCTCCACAAACCTCAAAGCAGTGTGCGGGTCATCAGGAATGACAGCAGGTAAGCTGATTTAAATACCTCTTTAGTCATTAAAGGACACCTGACAGTTTTTCAGTGTTCCATACAAAAAAAAGAAAGTAAAAAGAAATTAACCTTCCAAAGTTTTGTTTTTATTAATATGAAAGCAGCTTCAGATTGGATTCAAATATATTTTGGAACAGAAAAGGGCCTTTGTTATGATGTTTAAAAAAAAAAAAATCTTACAATGTTATTTCTTGTGACTTCTGAACTTCTGCAGAACAGACATAGCAGATTCCAAAACAATCTTCCTGCAGCCCCAGGAGCTCGCCATCCATTTGAGGCCAGGTGTGAGCCAGTCCTTTCCTCTGTCAATCTCTACGCCAAATGATCATCCTACCACAGACCTGACTCTAGACACCAGCAACGTGCCAGCTGGTCTCAACATCACATTCAGTAGCATAACTACAGGAAACCCCTTACTCGTGCAGGTCAGAAAAAGAAATCCTGTCCAACACAGTCTCTTGCAGAAAGAAAGTGTTCCTTCTTGTTTGTCCCCCAAAATCAAATTATTTGAACAACAGTTCCCCTGGCGCTGCAGGTAACTGTGGAAGCTGCACAATGTCCCAGTAAGAGTGACATCTCAAACAAGAACAGCACTGCACCCTGGTCTGTCCAGATCACACCCAGAGGCTTTGCAAAGAGTGTGACGTTGGAGGTAACTTTGCAGTGTAAGTCTGCAGCAACTTGCTACGAGAAACATTTGAGTCTGAAAACCTAAAGCAAGTCTTCATGAGACTGTTAGAAAATGGAGAGTTCAATAGTTCAGCTCATGTTTCTTCAGTGTGATAATCTAAAAAAATCTATTTGCTTCACCAGGTCAGTGTAGTTGCACTGAAAACAGAGAGGAAAACAGTCCCACCTGCAGGAGCCACGGGGCGCTCGTGTGTGGGCGTTGTGTGTGCTATCAGCCTTATGTTGGAAACCTTTGTCAGATTGACATAACTTCCTTTGAGTCAGAAAATGAAGACTTCTGTCGCTCACGCCCTGGCGC